GGGGGTCCAACATTTCCACCAGCTAGAACTGCCATATCTTAGCCTGCAGGGAACATTTCTTTCTACACTACTTCTCTGCACAGTTTTACTAGCGTATGTCTCTAAATGGCCAGCATCTAGGGTGTGTCCACACAGATGGGTTCAGGCAGTCATGAATTTATTGAAACTCCAATTCAGCTAGATATGCAATCTATTTTGGAAAACTTTTAGATGCATTAGCACAGTGGCTTCCCTGAGCTAATATACAACCCATCTGTCAGATATTTTTAACTGTGACAAAAAGTAGAAAGCTCAATTTAAAGTAGAATTACTTTATCTGGTAATTTTGTTTTCAGATTGCCCAACACATTGGAATGAGCAGACAATTCTCAAAATCTGAAATGCATGGGTTACACAGAGCATGATGAGAAATTCTATTTGATTGGCTTTAGGATGTCTGCATATTAGCCTGATTTTGAAGAACTAAAATTATTTGGGTTACATTACCAACTCTGTAAAACATTTTAAAAACTACAATAGGCAGATAGCTATGTGGCCTTTTCTGTGATGTAGTAAAAGAGGAATGGGATCATTTACTATTTTCTCTAATTGGTCAAAAAAAACTAGAATTTCAGGTGTAGAGAAAACTGGGAGAACTTGTAAAACTACTGCAATTCACATCTGTACGGAAGTGTTTAAACAGATAGTAGATACAACTTCTCTGTATGTGGTTGCTAAAGAGCTCCACTGACTCCTGCTTTCAACCAAGGGGACTGATCCCTATATTCTAAAGGACCTTTCTGATCTTTATTCATATTTTTAAAATGCTTTCCTAAATGGACTGAAAGAGCAATGTGAGTCTGCAAACATCTGGCTCTTGTGGCTGAGTCAGCGAGTCCGGGACCTGGGGCTCGCATCTTGCCAGTTCTTTGGCCACATCACACGGCAGCAGGGAGCTCTGCAACCTCTTTGCTCTCAGGCTGTTTCCCACGTAGGCTATCCGTTGAGCAACACGTCCTGGAGTCCAGCAAACATGCAGGAAGTGCAGCATAGTTTTGTGTTTTCTTGGCTATTTACAGGAACAGATATTTTTCCCATGAAAAAGTTTGGTCTCAGCATACCTGCCTTTTCCAAGGAAAACTACTTAATCAGAAAATTCCTGCTCTGAATAAGTCATGAAGGACTTTATATTATTGCTTATATTATTAGGTAGTAAAGGAATAGCTAAAAATTCCCATACTTGGGTACAAAATCAATTTGGGTACTGGTCCGATTAAATATTCAGTGTCAGAAAACAAAGCCAAATCCAAATGGAAAAGAAAGCAAGCTACTGGCAACTCGAGCTTCCCTTTAACATGAGAAATTCCTTGTTTCCTCCCATCAGCAGGCAGTTCAGTTTACTATCCATGCATCCTTAGAATGAAGACGTGATTGACTGATTGTTATTTGCACTTTGTCTTAGGTATAGATTATGCCATTCCAAAGATTTGTTTTTGTCAGGTTCCTGTGCATTAGCAATAAACTGGAGCATACTTACTCACTACCTGTTTCCTCCTACAAAAACACCTGCTAATTACCAAAGACAGGGATGTTGATGATTTCATCCGAATCTTTTTTCTTTCCCATGGAGAGTAAAAGCAAATAACTACATATACTTTTGTATCTGAGAGCACTGCTCTTCCCTTAACCATTTCAGGATTCCTTTTTATAGAAACATATCAGAAAAAGTTCATTTTGCATTGCATCTAGGTAGTGTGTAGACCTATGTTATATATTGAATGTCACTTAATTTAGCAGACACAGTAGAGTATGACACACAATATCATGCAACAGCAATAGCACGAAACATTTAAATGCAGGTGGGAGGAGGCTTAAGTTTTCCTCTTCCAATTCCTTGAGAACGGACAAGTAATCCCCTCTAGTTACGTGGTTTGTAGCTGCAGACTGCTGCCTATCTGGAAGGACACAATGAGGCAGGAGCTCTGATCGAGTGGCCTCCATATCTGTGAAATTTTGTTGCATGCATTTTGGGAAAAGACTGAAACAAAATCTAAAGCAGACCTCACGTGGCCAAATTCAGCCAGACTCAATGCAAAAAATTCTTTGTTAGCGCACTGTAAACAAGCCTGAGAGCGCACAGGGGCTTTGGATTAGTTTAGCACAGTGGGGTCAAGTACAGCCTGTGCTAAAAGTATGATGCGTTCAGTCCACGTAGGTTTCAGTTAGCCCAGACCCACTGGTAGTTCAAGACTCTGGTCAAAACAGACCATGAAGACAAACTCTGGTGAATCATTTGAACTGCTATATGGATGCAAAAGTTGGGACATTGAGTAACGGTTATGGAAGTATGCTCAGCCACAATTCCGAGAAAGTTGTTTGGGTCAGTTTTAAGGACAGACATTCAGGATGAAATCCCATCTCCATTAAGTAAGTATGGAAACATCATTTCAGTAAGCGAACGCAGGATTTTTGCCAAAATGCCTGCTGCGTCATTTAGGATGAATTCTTTAATGCCATCCATTCCTTTAAGTAATCTTCTAATTGTAAAAATGATCACATTCCCTGTAACTTTCTACAATGTTAATCCAGTAGAAGTCGTATAAACTTTCAGAGGCTGAAGTTGCAAATGTTGCTTCTTTTTGCAAGAAGTAAAAATGTTCTCTGTAGCAGTCATTTAAAGGCTCAGTATAAGCATAAAATGAAAGTCAGACTCCATATGCATCTACTTTGTCACATGCGAATAGGATCTCTGGGTAAGTAAATTGCTCAGACATCTAAGTATTCATCTGTATGCATGCTATTTTAACAGTTATGCAGAAATGGTAAGCCAGTGCCTACAAAAAGATAGATACAACTTGGCTTTCTACAGGGACCAGCAGACACATTCAGCTTTGAATTTACATTCTACATGTCTGTGTTTTCTAA